AAGAGCAAGGCGGGAGCAAGCTGGTGTCGCCTGGGAGCCGCCCCCAATCAGCCACCAGCCCTGGGGCGGCAGGGCTCACTTGTCCTGGTTCTGGAAGAAATCCTTCTTCTCCAGGCACTCGTACACCCAGCCAGGCGCGAACAGGGCTGCCGAGAAGCCGTGCTTGCGGATCAGCTCCAGCGACTATGGAGACAGCAGTCAGGGGATGCCCCACCCAGCCGCGCCAGCCAGGGCAGGACACAGCCGGCGTCCACACAGGCGAGCTCTCGGGCCGGCCTAGAAAGGGGGGGCTGAGCTGCACTCCTCCCTCCAGGCCGCAGCCCCGCAGTCCGAGCCCACGAGAGAAGGGCGCCAGGGCGGCCGGCCATGCTAGCGGGCGGGGGCTTGCAAGGCAGCCACAGGCCCTGGGCCCCTCCCTCCCGCTCGTCGGCTGCAGTACCCATGGCGGGTGGAACGAGTCTTCAGTTACTGGCTAACTTACCCATTTAGGCTTCTCTAACCAGTGAGGGCCCGGGTAGCCCCAAGAACGGGCGGACCGACCCCCCAGAAGGCAGGCCAGTTCCGTCTCTCCCGCAGCGGGGGCCTCAGCCGCACCCGCTCCTCTCCTGGCTGCGGACTGGACTTGCCTTGCCAGCGAGGCGAATGAGCTGTCCAGGGGCAGGCACCGACCGCAGCCCCATCGCCAGAGCCCAGCAGCCCGGACAGGCAGCGCCATAAAGTGCCCCCGGCCCCCCACAGCTCCCAGCAGGGTGCCCTGTCCGCCAGCACCCGTGGGAGTGTGCTCTGACCGCAGGTTTCAGGGCACAGCCTGGCTCAGCACAGGCCAGTGATGTCCCTGTGCCTCGGTTTCCCCGCGTGGGAAAAGCTGCTGCCTCTCTCCCTCGAGGGTCAAATGGGAACGAAAGGTCCCAAGGGAGCCCACTGCCCTCCCCACCCCGTGCAAGAGCCACACCCACCTTGTCGGTGTCGAATCGGCCCCCGACCACGTTCCCCCGGGCGAACACGTCCACGCCCACGTACACATCAGCCCGGCGCTGGCCTGCCTGCTCCAGCATCCTCGCCAGGTGCTCCTCCCGCCAGTTGTAGTTGGTGAAGAAGCCGTCGCAGGACTCAAAGAAGACCCTGCGAGCAGGCCAGGACCCAAGTGAGGCCACGGCCCGGGCCTCAGCACCTGCCCCGCCCGCCCAGGGCCCAGAGAGCCCGCTCCGGCCAGCCCTGCCCTGAGCTGCAGCCCACAGCCCGGAACGGCACAGCAGACAGGCCTGCTCCTGCTTGAGTCACGGGGCCACATGGCCCTGCCACTCCCACTTCACCCTGGCAGCCACCCAGGTAACCCTCTGGAGAGGGGTGGGCTCCCACTACACACAGAGGGCGGCGGGCTCACCTGTTGTGCTCGTTCAGCTCGTCCTGCCACTTGAGCTGCCCGTTGGCCACCACGCTGTCGTACCAGAGCACCAGCCCACCCGGGACATGCTGGTGCAGCTGAGTGGTCAGGTACTGGAGGAAGTGGGGCATGTTCCCCACTGCGGCCAGCTAGGGGAGAGGGTGAAGGCCCTCTGTGAGGCCCGGAGGCCTTGGCCACGAGGAGTGGCTGGCCTGGGACCAAGAGCCACAAAATACACAGCCTCGACCCCACAGCCACGGAGCAGAGGTCCAGCCAAATGTGAGACTCTCCTTGCTTCAGAAGCAGGGAGGCCCAGGCACAGGAAACACAGTGGGGAGAGGGGGACAGCATGGCCAGGAGCCCATGGGCAGCCAAGCAGAGTGGGGAGCGTGGGGGGAGGGGGAAGGGGATGTGGCCACAAGGAGCCAGCCTGGCAGTGCTTGTCTAAGCAAGGCATAGTGCTGGAGTTGATCTGTCTCACGGCAAAGCTGGCTCTCACTGGGCACAGGGGTGGCATAGGTCAGCCGCCAGGGCCAGGAAAGCAGCAGCAGGCACAGCGGGGGTGGCAGGCTGGGCAGTGGGCGGCTCACACTCAGAGAGTTCTCGATGTTGATCAGCCAGCCGTCAAAACGGAAAAACTGGGCGATCCGGACCAGCTGATCCGCCACGGCACGGAAGGAGCGCTCGTCCCCGGCCAGGAAGGCCTCACAGAGCTGCCCGCCCTCCTTCCACTCGGTGATGAACGTCCCTACAGGATGTGAGGGGCAGGGTCAGCCTGCTCCCTCTGGCCAGTGGCCTCAGAATGGCCTGCAAACGCGGCAAACTCAAGTTCTCTGCCCGCCCCCAACAACTAGTGAATTGACACTGGGGGCCAGCCCCCATCGGCGCTTCAGCAAACCCACAATGACAGGGTGCAGAGAGGCACTGCCCACCCAGGGCTGGCCCCGCAGGCATGGCTGCTGCCTGCATGGGGGTGGGCGGGCTCAGCCAGGCACTGCTCCCCATCAGGCTGCTCTGTCTGCAGCTCTGACTGCGACCTGGTCTGCAAAGCTGGAGCTCCCACTGCCCACTCCTTCCCAGAAAGATTCGGCGACTGCCTGTCCGAAACTACCCAGGCCGCCCCTGGAAAGGCGCTCTAGGCCCTGGGGGGCAGCAGAGGCCCTGGTCTCCCTGCAGGGTGCTAACAATGTGGCCAAGTTGGGGGGGAGGGCCTGGCCCTTACCCAGCACGCAGACCCCATGACAGTGGGCAGTGTTGGTCCAACCCACGGGTGGGATGGTGACCATGTGGTGGCTGAAGTACACGAAGATGTCAATGTACTGCCAGTGGTAGAAGGAGTAGGGCTTGGCCGCCGGGGAGCCCTGAATGAACCTGAGTGAGGAAAGAGAAGCAAGTCAGGACACTTGGTGGTGGGGGGCGGGGGGGCAGCAGGGCCAGGTTGCAGCGCCTGCTCAGAGGGTAGGTCCTCTGCTCACACAAGTGCTCCCACTGGGCTTTCCCCAGCCTGCTCAGAGGCAGGCAGCCTCCAAGGCAGTCCCTGGTGCCCAGGCTGGGATATGATCACAGGGGCTGTACCCCAGAGCCCCTCGCCTGCCTGTGTTGCGCCAGGCCATTTTACAGCTGTTTAAGATGAGCAGATGCTACAGCAACTAAGTGTCCCTGCCCAAAGCGGGAGAGGTGGGCACGCAGCTGCACCTCCACAGCCAGAGCCAGCGGCCCAAGAAGGCAGTCGGACATCAAGTGAGGAAGGGTGGGGGGAGCAGGGCAAAAGCCAAGTTTTGGGCCCAGCTGACAGGGAGAGGGTGCCCTGTGGCACAAGAGTCCAATCTGAGGCAGTCCTCAGAATCAGGGCTTTCAGAACCAAGAGAGGCAGAAGCTGTGCCCTAAGCCGACTCCTGGGGACCCCGTTCTGGTGCTCGCTACCCTGCCACAAAACAGGCACCAGGTGATGTCCTCACCTGTCATCCAGGTATCCGCCCATCATGTCATGGCACAGTAAGGTCCGGGGCCTCTGGCTGCTCAGAGGGGGCTGGCGGCTCTCGAGAGGCCTCGAGGCCACATTGAAGCTGTCCGCGGTGGTGGGCGTCCATGCCAGGAGCTCCTCCAGCGAAGACAGGTAAAAGCTCACGGGCCTGCCGGTGTCCTTGTCATAATATCTAACTAGTCAGGGGCAGGAGACAGCGAGGGGTTAACGGCGATTACAGGATTAACAGAAATGCTCAATGGGAAATGAGGGTGGGAGTTGGGGGGAGGGAGCCATGCCTGGGGGCCCCAAGAGTGACCCCAGGGTCAGCACCTCAACGCTCTCACCTGGCAAAGGGTCTGGGGTAAAACTGACCACCTCTCGGAAAACCGCCGCCTCTTCCTTGTCCTCGATTCTAAGCAGAGAGTTTTAACGTTTTACGCATAAGGGTGAGAAAAACACTTACAGAACGTGGGCTAGGCTCCCCCAGACGTGCAGGGCGCATCCGCCTCACATTTCTGAGTGTAGACTGCAGCCTTATGTGTCAAACCAGAGAGGGTGGCAGGTGCTGACCCACGCGACGGCAGCCTGGGCGGGCTCTGCTCTGGCACGCACGCGCCCTTGTCGGGAATAAACTCTAAAAGCGGCGCCCCCACACCGCCCCGGCAAAGACAGATACTCTTCCCGCCTCCCCAGGCTTTGCTGTGGCCAAGAGGCAAGGAAAGCCCCAAGCCGCAGAGGGGTACGCCCGTGTCCCCTGTGTGAGTGCGTCCTACGAACCGAACCGGAGCTAACTCCGGGCGGGGGACGGACGCGGGGGAAGGGGCACCTTTGCTGCCTGAGGCGGGAAGGCCTGGATGGATCCAAAACCACACTATTGCCTCAGCAGAGACTGGCCGGGGCTCCACAGCCAGCCTCCTCCGTGGCCATCAGCGGCCACTGCCCTGCTGACCGGGTGTCCCCTGACACCCTCCTCGACCTGCCCCGCCCGCGAACCCAGCCTGGACCCTAGGCGGGGGCGGGACCCCAGGCCCGCAGGGGTGGGCGAAGGCGCGGTCACGGGCTCCCTGGGCCCTCCCGCCTCTGCCGGGCCGCCCGTGCCAGCCGCCCTCCCTCCGCGGCGCCCCGCGGGCTCTCGGCCTGGTCGGGGGGCTCCTCCGGATCTGGGGGCTCAGCTCGGCGTGCGGCCGCCGGGCCCTGCCCCCCCGCCCCCCCCCCCCCCCCCCGGCATCTCCTGCTCCGCGCCCGCCACCCCCGCCCCGGCGGCTCGGCCCGGGCGCGCGGCGCCGCCAGGGGCCGGGTCCGCGCCGGGAGGGGCGCCCACCTCCGCCGCGCCTTCCGCGCCCCCGGGGTCGCCAGCGCCGGCCGCGGCAGCGCCCGCTTCCTGGCCGCCGCCCGCGTCGTCACCCCCGGCGCCTCCATGACGCCGCGACGCCCCCCGGCCAATCGCAGCCCGGGCCCGCCCGCCGCCGCCCGCCAGCCAATGAGAGCTCGCGGCGCGGCCGCCCCGCTGCGACAGGCGCCAGCGCGGCCGCGATTGGGCTCCGCGGGCTCCGTGACGCTCTGGACGCGCGCCGCGGGCGCCGCCGGCGTTTTGTAGCCCGGGGGGCGGGGCGGAGTCAGGGGCGGGGCCAGGAAGGGGCGGGGCCTCGCTGGGGGCGGGGGCCGGCGGCGCCCCTCCCCCGCGGGCGAGCAGGTGGGGTTCGGGGCGCCCCCTGCAGGGGCGCGGTCTGCTCTGCGCCTGCGCCTGTCAGGGGTCACTAGAGAAGGTGACGTCACGACGCCCCTCCTGGGCCGGGGCCACAGGCCTTCTTCTATTTGCTGCCGTGGACCGAGCCAGAAGGATGCGCGGCGCCCCGGGGTCGCTGGAGGGGGCTTCCGCCTCCGGGCTGGCTTCGGGGGGCCAGGGGCTGGCTTCGGGGGGCTTCCGCCTCCGGGCTGGCTTCGGGGGGCTTCTGCCTCGGGGCTGGCTTCGGGGGGCCGGGCGCGCTGTGCTGGGGAGGGGCGTGGACGGCCCGGCCCGGCGGCGCCCCCGGGGTTCGCCAGGGTCTCCCCACTTCCCGCAGGACGGAAGGCCCGCGCAGGGCCGGTGACGGGCGGGGCCTGGACACGGACCCCCGAGACTCTGACCCGGGGCTGCGGGAGGCGCAGGAGGCGCCGGGGCCGAGGAGGAAGCTCTGAAGGCGGAATTCACTGAAACGCGGCCACAAATGCGAGTGCGTAAAGCAATCAAACACAAGTGTTTGCTGCACCCCCAAACCTGTGAACCCCCCGCCCAGCTCGCAAGGCCTGGGGGTACCTCAGAGCAGCACCTCCCAGCGCTCCCGCTGAGCGGCGCGGTCGCCGGCGCTGGGCAGTGTTAGCGGGCGGTGCCAGGACAAGGCCCCCCTCGACCCCCCTCGAGCCCAGGCCCTGGAGCCCAGGCCCTCCCCACCCACCCGGGCCCTGGGAGCGTCCCCTGGGCTGCAGCTGCTGCCCAAGCCGCGTGAGTGTGTCTGTTATTGCTCTGACTTTGAACTTTATGAGGCCCCACGCGCAGTAAAACCCTGAGGTGGGCAGCATGACTCAGGCTGTGGCGCCTGGGCCAGGAGTCGGAGCTGCAGAAGACAGGGCTGGCAAAGCCTCCAGAAATTTGCAGTGAGGAAGGGGAGCAGGGAGGCCAGTTCCCCAGCCGTGCTCAGGTGAGTGTGTCTCTGCTTGCACCCAGGTGTCCCCGACCCTCTCCCGTAGCTGAGAGGTCAAAATAAATGTGTCATCCCAAGACTGGAAACACGGCCCCCAGGGATACTTGGACCCGGCCTGGGTCTGCTCCCGCTGCCCCTCCCGGGGGCCGCTGCTCTGGCACAGGAAGGGGCGGTTCTCTGCGCCTCCCCTCTCTGGGCAGCGGGGGCAGGGTCTTGGGGACGCCCGCTGCGCCCTGCTTGTGCCTGTCCTGCAAGCCCACGGGATTCCTGGTCTCTGGGAAGCAGGATGAGCCGGAGGTCCCATGTCTGCCTTGAACTCATAATTGTCGCAACCAGAGCTCCAGACGCTCCTGAGGCCTGGCTGGGCTCCTAGACCCCGGCCTTGTAGGGTTTCCAGATAAGATACAGGACACCCGGTTAATGTGAATTCCAGATAAACAAGGAATTAAAATGTGGGATGTGGTTATACTAGAGAATTCTTTCGCTTATCTGAAATTCAAAGTGCGCTGGGATCCTGGACTTGCTAAATTGGCAGCCGCGGCCCTGCCGCAGAGCCCGTCCTGCTGCCGCACTGCCCCTCGGGCGCCTCCTCGCCGCCTGGCTCTCAGCTGCCCGGGCCCGTCCAGCCCAGCGGGGAAGCCAGGCTGGCCCCGGACCGCTGAGCCGGGAGACCCCACCTGCGCGCAGCTCCTGAGCTCAGGGTCGCCCCCACCCTGGCCGTGTTGACCTGGTGCCCTCCGGCCCAGCGTGGCGACCTGGCGGCACACCTGCCCGCCCTACCTCCCTGCCCTCTTCCTCATGCCTCCCACGGTGTCCTGGGGCAAGAGGCTGAACCAGGTGAAGAGGCATCACCTGCTCCTGGGTTGCAAATAGCCTGAAAGGTGCAGCGGGAACCACTTGTCCCGATCACCCTCTCTCAGCGGGCCGGCGGCTGCCTGGGTGGGCCGCGTGCCTAGTGGGCGAGGTTACGGCAGTGAGGGCGCTGGTCTGGTTGTGCCTGCAAAACAGAGCTGGGGCCCCTGTCCGTCCCCCTTCCTGCCGGCTCCCAGTGAGGATACTGAGGGGGCAAAGCATCAAGGCTAAGGGGCCCGGGTCCCCCACAAAAGACCACAGTGGGTCCTGGCCCGCCTGGTCCAAACCCTATATAAGGAAAATGAACTTCCCTCTGCCTTGAGCCAAGCCGCCCGGGTATCTGTCTCAGCAGCGGGACCTGACCACATCCGGGATACAGGAGTTTAGGAGAGGCTCTAAAACGTGGCCTGCCTGACAAGGCTGGTCTTTATTTGCCTAATCGTATTGGCTTATTCTTTCTCGGCATTCCTTCTGTGCTCAGAAGGAATGGGCTTCGGCCTCTCCTTTCATTCGCAGATGTCTCCGCCGGCCAGGGGAAGGCTTTTGCACTGTCACTGCCTCTGAGGCACCCAGGAGCTCCCCCACCCAGGAGCTCCGCCGGCTCCATGATGAGAGGACAAGGGGGCTGGCCCTGCCCAGTGCCTGACTCAGCTCCGCACCCCTTGAGGCTGTGCCCAGGCTCCTACCTGCTCAACATCCTGCTGGGGGAGAAGAAAGTGCCTCCGGCCCCGGCACACCTGCACCCGGGGACAAGAGGTGGGCTGCCCGGACATCTGCCCCGGCGGGGCCCGGTGTCCCCATAACTGCAGCTGCACACTCCACCTGCGCGCCTTCCTGGTCATGATGTAAAGCATACAGGGAAAGCCACATTCCCAGGACCGAGGTGTTCCTTGCCTTCCCCGGCCTCCTGGCCCGGCTCGCTACCCACCGGTGCTCTCGCTGGGTTTGACCCGTGTCCTTCCAGATGTTTCAGAAGCTTTTACGCAGATGGGTTACCTGCAGCCACAGAGCCCCGGGTCTCACAGAAGTGGGATCGGGTTGGATAATCTGCCCTGTGTCCGGCGTTTGCCACTCAGCTGTGCTGTTTCCGTCAAGCCACTTTAATCTCTGTGGCTCCAACTGGTCATTTTCACCGCTACTTGGTGCTGACACTCGGTCATTCTAACCCGTCACGGTGGACCTGCCCACCTACCCACGGGAGGCTTTAGATAGCATGACATTCAAATGTTTAATGATTAAAGCATTTTGAAAAGTTGTTAGGTTTTAAAATGGCAGATTTTAAAGTTATTAAATATTATTGTTTCGTGTTAAATTGAGTGTCACTGCGCCGGCCTTCTTGGGCACGGCTAAGCATTTTCTCCACTTGTCAGGTGAGGCCAGCTGCAGTGAGTGCTGGTAAAAATGCACGCCCTTATCCATTTTAACCTTCGGGCCCGCGCCTGTGCTGGAGGGGAGGGACGGGGCGGGGCGGGGGGACAGGCCGGGTGACCCGCAGCTCCGCCATGGGGGCCTCGGGGCTCTCGCGCTCCTGCAGGCCTGAGAGCGGCCCCGAGTCTTGCTGTCCTGACGGAGTTTCTTCTGTGCGGGTGGTGTTAGGGACCTTTGCTGCGCCCTTTTCTCCTGTTATTTCTCTCACCCCCCGCCCCCGCCCCTAAGGAGTGTGGGATCACTCAGGCTGTTCTTCCGCCTGCAGAGCTCGGTGAACGGCAGACGGCCCGGAAGTGCGGCAGCCACGCCACACGTGACCCGCGAAGGGTCTGGGACGCTCGGCTGCGTGTCTGTCCTTCTGTCCCCCTGCCTGCCTGTGTGTCCCCTCCCCTGCTTCAGTCTTTTTTTTTAAGATTTATTTATGCATACAAGAAGTGGGGTGTAGGCCAAAAGTGTGGGGGTGAGAGTCAGAATGGGGAACAGAACAGGCAGATCCACTGAAACACACTGAGAGGGGAGCAGCAGGCAAGTCAGGAGGTCTGCTGCGCCATGTAGGGTAGCTCCCCGTTCGCTGCAGAGGCTGCGAACAGCTTCATAGGTTGCATCTTAACCCCTTGTGCCACCAGAGAGGCCCCCGTCAGTCTCAAAAGACCTGTCGGACATGCCAAAGGCTTCAAGATTCTTTTGTCCACTCCCCTGAATCAACAGTGAACCTGCCCGGCCTGGGGTGGTTGCGCAACCACCCCTACTCCTCTGACCTTTTCTCCCTCCCCCGCTTCCCAACTTCAGAAACCTCACTCCTGCTGTCAGTGCCCACTGGTTTATAAATATTTTGCTTTGTCGGTTCATCCACCTTGATTCTTACTTTACTCATATAGCTGACGTCATCCAACCCTTGTCTTTGTCTTTCTCACCTGCTCTGCTACGGAGTTGCGTGCCTTAGACGCACGTTCCCTTGTTCCCTTACGTTCTGCTGCGAATGACAACACACCCTCTCCGCTCCCGCCTGAATCCCTGGCATGGCAAGGCTGCCTCTCCCTGACCCAGCCCCTGTCCATGGGCACGTAGGTTTCTTCCCATGTCCTCCCCGCCGTAAATATGCTGCGGTAGACATTGTGGACCATGAAGCTTTTTGAGTTGATGGTTTCAGACAGAGGCCTGGGAGCAGGACTGGCTGCAAGGAGTGTCCACTCCTGGTTTGTCGGGGAGGTGCAGATCACCTCCCGTATGACTGTGCAGGTCACATTCCCGCCACGGTCGTCAGGGCTCCTGTTCCTGCACATCTCCTCCAGCACCTGGTGTTGGGGGTCTTTGCAATGGGGGCCCGTCTCATGGGGTAGGTGATGCCTCATCGTGCTTTCCCCTGCATCTGCCTTTATGTGAGCCACGAGCATTTTTCCAAGCATCCGTTGGCTTCTCTGTATCCTCCCCGGCAACTGTGGGCTCGGATCCACTGCCAGTTTATTAACTGGATTGCGTTGTTGTTGGGTCAGTGATGTCTTTGTATATCTTGGATCTTAACGTCTGTGGGTGGCGTGTTATCTTGTCTTGCTGATGTGCAGGTGTACGTCAGATGCCTTGGACTCTCACGCTGCCTCTTGCATACGCAGGCCGTGCAAATGCTCATCCGCTTGTCTTTGCTCTCTTCCGGGGTCTTGTGCTGCAGGTATCTTCAGTTTCAAAGTGGCCAAGTTGGGTAGCAGTGTCCCCTGAAAGGTCGCTGCAGGGGCCAGGAACGAGGAAGCCCACACAGAAAAAAACAAGATGGCCCTGACACCCGGACCCCTGATACCATCAAACCGAAACTGAAGCCATAGACAGGAGAAAAACAACTCGGCTCCACGAAAAACAACTTTGTTCCGCCTAAACCTGTCCCCGTCCCGCCGCCACCCCCTCCCGGCCAACCCAGTTTTCCTGCCTCACCCTATGCAAGGACATCTCCCCCCACAACGCAGGACTTCTCTGACCCCCAGGGGGGTCTGCAAATCTCGCCCAGGGGCACAATAAAGTTTCTGCCTGTTAGAAACTTGGCCTGGCTCTCCTCTTTCATCCCTGTGGCCCGGCTGCCCTCTTCACGCGGGGCTGACCTGACCGAGAGGTCGGAGCGGCTGGTCCATAATTGTCACGCTGGGTTGTCTTTATTTTTATTTTTTGCATATAAAACTGCCAAGTGTCTTTTGGAAATAGGTCTTAACATGTCATCTTCCTTTTTGGTTATTGACCTATTCAGATTTTTCTTTCTTCCTGGGCCAATTTTGCTTCTAGATGTTTTTCTAGAACAACATCCATTTCATGGAGGTTTTCAAATGGAGCCCTGTGAGTCATTTTTTGACCTCTTGGTTATGCCCTCTCTACTTCCAATGTTGTTTATTTGTTTTTTTTCCTCTTGGTTTTGGGTTTTTGGGTTTCTTTTTTGACGAAGGACTGTCTACTTATTAGTCATTTCAAAACACAAGTTCCTGATTTTGTTCTTTTTTCTCCCTTTGGTTTGCTTTTTGTTTCACTAATCTCTGCTTTCATTTTCTTTCCTGTTATTTTCCTTGGATTCATTTTGTTGTTCTTTTTCTGGTTTCAAAAGTGATGCATTTGTGTCACTTATTTTCAAATCTTTCTCATTTTCATAGCAAGGCAGCGGAGGGGCCCAGTACCCTCTGAAGACGACTTTCATTGTTGCCTGCACGTTTTGATAGGCAGCACTTTCACTGTCATTGAGTTCTGAATGCTTGGGGGGCGGGTGGCAAGAGCCAACTTTGGGGGGAGCTCAGAAGGCACTGGGGTGGCTGTGGGTGCCGTGCTGGTGGGTGCACCATGGTACTCACACTTGAAGGGGGTCCTGGACTTCGAATATACAAACAAGGATGTAAACCAATGTTGCCTTAATAAACATGATTTTTAGAAGTTCTAGATATTTATAGTTTCTTTAGGTCCTCCCTAACTCAGCAAAATAAGTTTTGCTGTTGATTCCACCGGACTTTTCTGTTATGATTAGCACTTTCCCATCTTTTCCAAATGTAATGTCATGGAAATATGGAGCCCCCCACACACACACACACCCTGTTTCCTAGCTGCTTATTCTGCCTTTGCCTTCACACCTACACTTCTCCTGGGTTGTTTTTGTTTATGATGGGGAGGGGGGCTGTAGGGCAAGTGGATAGGTCAGGCTTTTTATGCCACAGGCCTCTGTGGCTTCCACCTGTGGCCTTGATTGTGCTGAAGCAGGAGGCACTTGGGGTGTTGTAGGGTAAGTAAATGATATTGGGCTTTTCTGCCCTCCCGCTATTAGGATTGATGATCGATGCTTGTGGTCCTGAATGAATGCCTGATGGCGGACACCTGGAGTAGGGTGTGGCCATACATAAGTGGGTACACCTGGGCTAAGGCTGGGCTTATAAGGCAGCATCACGGGGACGCCAGCAGAAGAGCAGAGAAGCAGAGAGACCGAAAAGAGTGAAAGAGGGTAAACGAGAAGCAGAGACCACCAGAGAAGGCCAGAGAGCCCAGAAAGAGTGAAGACTTGCTGGGGGCTGGGAGGCCTGCCGACACCCCGGCACCCCTGCCTGCTGTGTACCTAGTAAAATCCCAATAAAAGCCTGAAAAGCCACTGAGGGCTCCAGGGCTTCTCCGTACCCCGTCTGCTCAGATCAAAATAACCTGCCCTGTGTCCTCCTGCCGCTACAGGTGTTGCAGAAATTCTGGCCTTTTCCCCAGGCAGAGGAAGAACAAGCGGTGCTCCAGGAACGGTGAGGTCAGGAGAAGCTCTACTACTCATGCATGAGCCCCAGACCTGGGTCGCCCCATACAGTCTGAGCCCCGGTTTAAAGACCAAGGGCTCCTTTTCTGCACAGCTGTGTCCATGTCTGTGACACGGACAACATCGCTTCTCAGCAGGCACAACCATTTGCTGCAAAGTCCCCAGACAAGGGGGGCCAGGAAAAGGGGGAGAGATGCAGGCATTCGAGATGGCCTTGGAGAGACAGACCAGCTTGGCCGGCTACTGGACCCTTTTGAAACACAACTTCGTTTACAGAGGAGTGCTGAGACCCGGCCACGAGTCTTTAGACGGAAAAGCTGTAAGTAAGCAAACTTGTTAACGAGGCCTGCATTGCACTGGCGTGTTCACTGCACCTGGGCTGGAAGTTCTGCTGGAATCTTTATTATATTCATTTGCTCAATGTATTTTCTCCTCAGGGGCGTGGGTGCGGGGTACGCGGACCTGATGGTGCACACCTGAGCATGGGTGTGTGTGCATGTGCAAGTGTGCACACCTGAGCCTAGGAAGAAGGGGATAAAAAGGCGACGTCACTGCAGGGGGAGCGAAAGCTTAAAGATGGGCCGGGGCTGGGGGCCTTGGTGCCTGCGCACGTCAACATTTCTCCTTTGCCTGTGACATTTGTTGCGGTGTTTTGTCGACCTGCCCAATTCAGCAGGAGCTCCCTCCTAAGTGGGGCTGAATTTCATCCAGCTTGGTTTTTCGCGTGTCTGGAGACGATGATTTGGTTGTTATCTCGTAGTCTGCAAGTGTGTAACACACCCTGACTTCCGTGTAAGCCAAGTCTGTATCCTGGAACCAAACCAATTTGTTTGTGACGTATTATCTGTCCTCTTAGTGGGGCTGCAGTTGGCTAATGTGATACTTTGGATTTTTCTTTCCATGTTCGTGAGACTGAACCAGTTTTCTTTTTTTAGGATTTTTTTTTAAGATTTATTTTAATTTAGGCATACAAGAACTGGGGTGCAGGCCAGAGATGTAGGGGGTGAAAGGATTCCCCAGAGACAGAGTGGGGAGCAGAACAGATGGATCCACTGAAACACACTGCTGAGGGTGTTGTAGAGCAACCCCGATACAAAATGGGGTGCCTGACTGTGGGTCCTCACCCGCGCGCTTAAAAGGACTTATCAATGCTCTACTGCAGGCACACGTGAAAGGTTAATAAAAGGTTTATTTACAAGGGAAAGGGAAATGAGGAAATGTACAGCTCTGGGAGAAAAGTGGGAGACAAAGTTTTAAATGAGTCCTACCCGATCCGCCGATCAGGAATCCCAAAATGGCGCTCTGAGAGCTGGCCGCCAGCCAGGAGCGGTGAAGCCAGGAGGCGAGCGATCGCGAGCCAGAGAGAGAGCAAGGCCCACGTGTTTGGTTTTTATATCCAACCTGGCTGCCCAACTCCACCCTCAGGTCCCAGCCACCCTCCCCTTGGTGGTGATGGGATTTGTCTTTCCCAATGTCCTGATGGCTTTAGTCTGGAGTGGGGGTGGAGTCCACAAAGCCTGTATGAGATTATCTCAGGACATCCTTTCCCCCTAACAAGGGGAGCAGCCGGGAGACAGGAGAGGTCTGCTGCACCCTGTGGGTAGCTCCCTGGCGGGGGATCAAACTCAGGCCACATTTGCTTGATAGTAATTTGATAGCGCTGACGTTAACCCCCGTAGCACCAGGGAGGCCCGGAACCAGTTTTCATGCAGTTTTCTCATAAAGTTTGGGGATTGAGATTGTGACCACCTCATAAAACAAGTTGAAAAATAGCCTCCTTTTCTGTTTTTAGAAAACTTTGCACAAGATTAGAATTATTTTTCCATAAGTATTTGGTAAAGTTGACTCCTAGAGCAACCTAGGCCTAGTAGTTTATTATGTGGGAAGTTTTTCTTTCTTTCTTTTTTTTTTTTTTTTTAAGATTTATTCATACAAGAACCAGGGTACAGACCAGATGCGTGGGAGGGGGAGAGGACTCACCAGAGGCAGAGCGGGGAGCAGAACAGGCGGATCCACTGAAACACACTGCTGAGGGGAGCAGCGGGGAGACAGGAGAGGTCTGCTGCGCCCTGTGGGTAGCTCCCTGGCGGGGGATCAAGCTCAGGCCTGCTCTGCGGCCTTGGCAGTGCTAATGCTGAGACTTAACCCCTAGACAACCAGGGAGGTCCCAAGGTTGTTTGATTCTTATCATTATTTTCAAGTCCTCTGCCACAATCCTCAGTCTTGTCTTTTATCTCCTCCAGTGTAGCTTGCATAGTTATTTTTACTTTCAATTAGGATAGCTTTAGTGTTTGTTCTCTCCCTGCCCCACAGGAAGCAGATCTCAAACTGACAGACAACTTAGTGGCTATCTCAAAGGAAGAGTCGGAACATTTTCTCTATCTTTAAGAAGGCAGGGCTCCAAATTGTCTAGAGTGTATGGAATTCTACTGCTATTTGTGAAAACTTCTAATATAGAAATTCCTCATTTTGTCCACTCCTGTAAAGAGATATGGTTCTGCTCCATTCTGCCCTTGGAGGAGCTGCTTCCCAGGGTCAGTTGAGGTAGGGGCGCTTGAGGTCACTGTCCCTTTCCAAGCCCTGCTCCAGCTGTGTAGAGACTTCAGAGAGAAGGCATGGTCCTCAGTGAGCTGTTGCTTCTGGAATGCTTCCCTTGGCACCTGAGTCAGCATCCTGACAAGTGATCTCATCTGCCAGTTGATTCCAAACTGTTAGTTCAAACACTCTCTTGGAAGAACTAATCCTGACACTCCCCTCCCGCCCTAGTGGACCCTGACCCTAAACCCACCCATGCCAAGCCCAGAATAATGATACTGGTGCTAAAGGTCACACCTCTGCAGCTCCAGGACCTCCCAGCTCTCAACAGAGAGCAGAGCTGGGTGAGCCATTCTATTTGTGTAGAAATGGGGTTGAGGGTGTTTGTTCTTCTTTTATATAAATGCTTTGAGATATGATTTATGTACGTCACACTCATTTAAAGTATGCCCTTTAATAGTTGCACAACATTAGAGTTGTGCAACCACTGCTATCATCAGTTTTAGGATATTTTCATCACCCCAAGAAAGAAGCCCCACACTTGTTAGCATCCACCCCCAATTCCCTCCAGTCCTCCGACCACCAGCCCCTGGAAACCTCTCATCTACTTTTAAGTCTGTCACAATTGCTGTATTCTGGACATTTCACATAAATGGAATTATACAGTATGTTGTCTCTGTGAGAGGCCTCTCTGTTAGTGGAATGTTTTTGAGGCTTTTCCATGAGGTCCCATGTGTCAGTACTTTATTCCTTTTCATTGCTGAGTAATATTCCACAGTACAGTTGTGGCACCTTTTGTTCATTCATCAGCTGGTGGGCATTTGGATTATTTCTACTTTTATTATTTTATTATTACTGCTATCGATACTCACATACGATTTTTCTGTGGACATGCGTTTTCATATCTTTTGAGCAGATACCTAAATGTGGAGCTGCTGGGTCATCTGTAGTTCTGACATGTTGAGGAAGGGCCAGACTAGTTCCCAAAGAGGCTGCCACGCCTTTCTTGTTTTCCTGCCAGCAGGTTATGAGGGTTCCAATTTCCTGCATCCTTGCCAACACTGTCACTTTTTATTACAGCCATCCTATTGGTTGTGAAATTGTTTCTCATTGTAGTTTGAATTTGTATTTCCTTGGCGGTTAATGCTGATGAGCATCTTTTCATGTGCTATGGACGTTCATGCCATTTCTTTAGAGAAATGTTTAGTGAGATCCTTTGCCCTTTTTTTCTCTGCAGCTTCTTCCACTCAGAAAACCTTTGTTCATGTTTGAATTGTCTTTTTATTATTGAATTGCAGGGTTATTTATTCTCAATATAAGTCCCTTACTGGATAACGATTTGCAAATATTTTTTCCCATGTGCTTGTCCTGTCACTGTCTTAGTGGTGTGCTTTGAAGCACAGATTTTAACTTTGGATCATGTTCTATTTATCTATTTTTCCTTTTGTTACCCTTGTTTTTGGCATCATAGCTAGAAAACCATTACTTAACGCAAGGTCATGACAATTTATACCAAGGCGTTTCTCCACCAATTTAATCATTTTCCCTTTTATATTAGGTTTTGAGTTGATGTGTGTGTGTGTGTGTGTGGTGTGAAGCCGGGTCCAGCGCACTCTTGCACGTGGAAGCACCTTGTTTTACTTATTTTTTTCTGTTCCCCACTGTTTTGTTTTGTTCATGATCGGAATAAGAAAGCTTCGCTGTGCTCTAGTCACCCGTAGAACCGGGGGCCCCATAAACCCACTTGCCACCGTCCCTTTGTGCCCCCGTGGTGAGCCCCACAGACAAGAATCCTTGCAGACGCGCACCAATACCCAGTGACCACCAGGACGGGCAGCGCCTCCTCTCTGCTCCTACCCCGGCGACAAAACCTCCTGAGAGCCTGACATAAGCTGTCTGTCCTTCGACGGAGTCACCCGCCATGTCTAAGTCCTCTCGCTAAGACTAACATTTGCATGCGACTGAGTTTATCAGGTCTTTTGCAGGGAAAGTTAGCCAGTTCCTTGGTCGTTGGGGTCGGGACATGGGAAAAGGAGGCTGGGGAGGGGCCAGCGGGCACAGAGAACTGGCATCAAGCTTGCAATTCTTCCAGGGAGGCTGGCACCGCCTCCTGGCTGGGTTAGAAGCCTGGATGAATCCTGAGAAGACAGGAAGGCCTGGACCTCATTTGTCTTATGCCCCATCACAGAGCGCGGGGGCGGCCCCGAGCTGGAACAGGGTAAACACTAGAGAGTGAGCAGAGTAGAAACACCAGCAGGAAGGGACTGAGCGTGAGGGTGGGGAGAGCTGAAAAAGTGAGGGGCACCCAAAGGGGGCGTGGGCGGCTCCTGAGCAAGTGTGCCTCCTCTCCGTCTTGGTTCCATTGGCAGTAAGACAGGACTAGGTGCTCCGAGTGCCGGTCCTGGGTTGGGGGGCACCCGGGGAACACTCCTGTCGGCGCCCCTACCCAGGAGCCACTGCAGAGAAGCCTCAGCGCCTGCTCTGTCTGGGGAGCAGAAGCAGCGTCTGCCTATTCCAGTCTGGCCCCCGCCATTAGCAACACACACGGGTTCACCCCAGGACCAGGCACAGGAAGGGCACGCTGCTTGCCAGCCTGCTGGCACCAGAGGGAGCACGGCCTGCTGGCACCACCTAAGGGTCCTGGCTGCTAACCCATTTGGCAACAGAAGGAAGAAGAAACATATGCCCTTCACGGCTTGGGGCGGGGCGGTGAGGGGGGACAGGGCGTGGGGGGGTAGCTCAGTCTGCGGGGGTGGCACTGGGTGGATCGTGTCCCTAGAAGACAGCGCTAAGCCTGGGGCAGGGAGTGCAACTATCTATGGAAGTGGGGCCTTTGCAGAAGTGCTGAACAGTCTTGAGGGGAGGCCATCCTGATTTAGGGTGGACCCCAACACCAATCGGGTGTTCTTTTGCGGGGTTGGGGGCTTGAGACACACAGAAAGCTGTTCCCACAGAGATGGTGACAGCCTGAGGCTGGAGGGACAAGGCCACCAGCCAGGAGCGCCCGACCCACTGCCGCAGGAGCCCAAGGGTCCCCGCCACTGCCTCGGAGAAGCGGGTCCTGATCTCAGGTTCTGGCCTCCAGGGATGTTAGGGAATAAATTTCTGCTACTGGAAGCTGCCGAGTGTGTGGCCGTTGCGGCAGCCGCAGAGGCCAGGGTGGAGTGCAAGTGCCCCCTGCCTGCCCCTCACGCAGCTGTGCCTGCCCATGCACTGGCTGCACCCCTGCCCTGCATCCCCGGGAGGGAGCCGAGGGCCCAGCATGTGCCCGTTGGGTCCTGGTGCGGGTGTCCCCAGGCACCGAATTGGGGGCCTCCAGCAGGCAGCAGGGGGAGCTAGGAGCGGGGACAAAGGGGGTTCCATCCAATGACAAGGCTGATGATGCTGAGACACACAACTCCAAGTTTAATGTTCTCCAGACAGAGCGCCGGGTGGCACGAAGCAAAGCGGGCGCTGGCTCACCGCACGCCCACGGACAGCCAGCGGCCTGGCCAGCAGATGCCCTCCAGGCGGATGTGCTGCCCGCAGGCTGGGGGGTTGGCCAGACTGAGCACCATCAGGCTCCAGGAAGGAAGGCTCTTGGAGGGGTCAGGGGCCAAAGCAAGCCGTGAGGGTGAGTGCAGCCCTGGGTGTCCACGGCAAGGCGGGGACTGCAGGCCGAAGTCAGCCCCAGGCCAAAGCACCAATGCCACGCAGCAACCTGCTCAGGGCAACCCAGACACCCACCTCTGGGGGCTCCTGACCACCCTCTATCCTCGTCTTGGGACTGAGCCAGAGGGGGTACCAGAGACAGGCAAGGGGCCGGGGGGGCTTTGGGCCCTTCCAGCTGCTCTGGGGCCCAGAGAGGGCCCCTCGTCTTAGGCTGCCGGTCACAGAGGCCCGGGGGAGCCTCTGGGGGCTGGATGCTGAGGTGGGCTGGAACCCACAGGGAAGGGACTCTGAGAAGGGCTTGAGAAGGCCTCGGGTAGCTGACCCGCCTGAGAAAAGGAACAGACAGTCCCTGCCGGGGTGACAGGCGTGGAGATGCTCCCAAGGGGTGGAGCCGAGCCGGTCAGGATGGGTGCGGCCCCTGAGCGCCCAGTACTGTCAGGAGCTTGGGACGCAGCCAGAAGAAAGCTCCCGGCACGCGGCCCACTGTCAGACCAGGGCTGGGGCCCACGGCGGCTTCCCGCAGGCCTCGGCCGTCCCCGCGCTTCCCCTGCCTGGACCCCTGCACTGTTGTGGCTCAAAGACCAGCTGAGCCCTGGGGCCAGCCACAGGGAGATGCCTGAGATGAGGCCATCAGCCCAGCTGGCCCCACGGAGATTCACACGTGACCTAGGAGAATGAAGTCAAATGGCTTCCCTGGGTCCCCACCCACCCCGGGCCCTCGCTGCCCAGAGTCCACCCCAGGCTTCCCTTCCAAGGAGGCTCGGGCCCCTGCAGCCAACCACCCGCCTCGGGGGCCATGAGACAGGTGGGAAGGCAGAAATAACCCCTGCCTGCCTCCCCCTCCCGCGGCCTGAAGGATTCGCTTAATCATTTCCGGGAGGGCGGCCGGATGGTTTACTCCAGGACGCGCTGCTGCTCCGGGCAGCGGCTCAGGGCCACCCAGGGATGTGCTCTGGGGGGCTGGGGGTCCCGCGCCCCAGCAATTCACCCAGGGACCTCGAGACCTCGGGTCACGGCTGGGCTGCTCGGGGCAGAGGATGCGGCGCCAGGGGCCCCGGCCGGAGGGGGGCCCGGGGCTGGAGCGCGGGCGGGCGGGCGGGCGGGCTGTGGGCCTAGGGCTCGTCATGGTGCTTGACCAGGTAGCCGCTGAAGGTGATGTAGGTGTCGAACTCGTCGCTGAAGACGGCGTTCTCGCGCTCGCCCTTGAAGAGGCGCACCCACACCTCGTCCTGCTCGCGCAGCTCCAGCATCAGGCTCTGGCTCTGCATGATGCTGCGGTCGCTCACCTGCGCGTACAGGATCACCGCCTCCTCCGCGTTCTTCATGACGTGCAGGTACGTCTCCTTCTGGTTCCAGGTGTGCACGTTGAGGCTGAAGAAGTAGACGCCGGGCACGTAGCAGTAGAACCTGCCGGTGAACATGTTGAAGTGGCCGTACAGGTTCACGAACTCGGTGTCGAAGATCACGGTCTGGTAGTAGTCGTTGCTGTGCAGGGGCTTCTTGCGGCCCACCGAGAAGGCGGCGTAGTGGTTCTTGCACCGCGCCCCGGGGGCCCCCACGGCCCCCTTCTGCCCTTTGGCCCCGCGTGGCCCCGGGCACCCGCTGAGCCCGTCTTGCCGTATTTGCCCTGCAGGCCTCGATCGCCCCGGTCACCCTTCTCGCCTGCAAGACAGAAAGCGGGTGGCGGTGAGCACCCCCCCAACCCAGGATGGTTCTATTTTCATCCCTAAGCAGAAAACTTTCTTGTTTCCGGAGCTTTTTTGTTTTGGCACAGAAAAGGGAACGTGTGGGCTTGGCCAAGAGCAACGGGCGCGGCGGCCACTCTCAGCAAATGGGGAGCAGATGTGGGGGCACGGCTGGGGCGCTGCCCCCCAAGCCTTGCCTTCCGGGTTGTCCCGGGCTCCGCCGCAGGAGGGCCCAGAGGCTGCAGCCGGACCTGAGCTGCGGGGCTGGTGGGTTGAGGGGACCCCTGCTGGCTGCGTGTGTGTGGGAGGCCCTGCTCTGCCGGGCAGCCTCCTGCTCCCAGCCTCCCTCTGGGAGGGGGGCCAGAGCCTCCGAAGTGGAATTTCCTCCTCCCCCCTCCACCGCCGCCTGCCCTCCCACCCTGCCAGCGCCCCCCAAGACTGCAACTGCCCACCCCCAGGACAGGTCAGAGCACCTCCCCGTCGCCCCCACTGCTCCCCCCACCCCAGATCGCTCCCCCCCACCCCGCCGTCCCCGCCAGGGCCTGACCTTTCAGGATGGTGATGTTGATCTGGGGTGCGGGGATTGTGGGGTACACCGGCGGGCTGGGGTCACAGCAGCGAAAGCACCGGGAAGCAGGGGGCTCCTCGCCCGGCCCTGGGCTGTATTTTTCGTGTTTTTCTTCATCCCTGAGGACACAGACGTCGGCGAGAGCACCCAGGACCCTCAGACCCGGCCCCGCTCCTCCGTGGCAGGCCGGGGCCACCTGCCCCCACCCGGCCACCCATGCGCTCCCTTTCCCTCCGCGGGGGTGGGTGGCGCCCCGGCGTGGCCAGCGGGGCCTGAGTGATGTCCCCGGAGGGGACCCCCTGCCAAGAGAGAAGCCGCCCCCGGCGGGGGACGCGGGCCGTGGGGACAGCCTTTCAGAGTTTGGGACGGCGCGCGGCAGTGCAGTGACCAGCCGTCCCCTCTGTGCAGCTACGGTTCTGGAGGGTTCGGTGTTAAGCCGACTCCTTTGTAAAGACGGGGCTCACTAGAGCCTGGGGTCCCCGGGCGCTGCGGTGGCTGCACACACCGGCTTTGGCGTCCACTCGGGAAGGGCCGGCGCCAGGCAGGCAGGACGGCACCGGCTCCCTGCTGCCCCCTGGTGGCCTCACGCTGCAGCGCACTTGCACGCTCCGGCCGGAGCTGTGACAGGACCACCTTGGAGGTGGCACAGTCTCTTCAGTGGGCAGCTCCTGACCTGACTCTGCTCTTGCCTTCAAACCCCAGAGCATCCAGCACCCAGCCGGGCCTTGCCCTGATCCAGAAGTCTCTGTCTAGAGTCAGCACCCCACGCATGCGAAGTGTCCAAAGCTGACCTGCCGCTGTCCCTTCACCCCCGGAACCTTCTCTCCTGAACCCTCTTTCTAGCATCATCTTCGATCGCTTAGAACGGGGGCGTCAAGCCTCATGTCTAGATGCCTCTCTGGTCTCTATGGGGCCACTGAGCACAATGGGGCTCTGAGCAGTCAGCCCCCCGCTGACACACCCAAAGCAGCTCCAGACCCCAGGCCTCTGCCCCCACCTGTCTGGATCACCTCCATTTCTTAGCTCCGTGGAGCTGCTCTCACCCCTCCCCACCCCCGTCGTAACCCGGCATGACGCCCTGTGGGATGGACTCAGGAGAGGCCCCCAGGCCCGTCACTGTGCGCGGCCGCGCCCTCACACACCGGTCCTGGGGTCCTGGGCCAGCCCCTTCCCTCCTGCGTGCCAAGTCCCCGGTCCTGTCCCCACCCCCGCGCGTGCCGCACCTGCACCGCGGAGCCTGCCTCGCTGTGCTGGGCCTGGGCGTCTGCCCCCATGGCCGCTGACTTCCTGCAGCCCGGGCATCCGCGTGGGCGTCCCCCGTGCCCAGCGGGCCGGCCGAGAGCAGGCACTCGGTCAGCGCCGGGGGGCCAGGGAGAGCGTGGGAAGGAGCAGGAAGGGAGACGAGGATGTCACTTTGCCCCGTATCCTCCTCAGTGCAAATCTCAAAATAACGCAGACGTCAAACCAGCACCCGACTGTCCCCGAGGGTCTCAAGCCTCACTGTGAGCCCTGTGAGGCGCCCCGCGCCCCGCGGCATGCCCAGAGCAGCCAGAGCAGAGCTCGAGGGTGGAATGGGGATGGTGCCGCTCACAGGAACCCACAGTGGGCCCCCCCATCTGGCCACCGGTCAGCAGACCCCCCCACCCCCATCTCAGCCCCTCACCTCTCTGTGTGGTCCGGCGGTGGTGACGGCTCCTTGGTGGCCTCCGGCTCCTCCTGCTCCGGCTGCCCGTGTGGCGTGCGGCCCAGCGCTGGTCCCCAGGCAAAGGCCAGCAGCAGGCCGCTGGTCAGCAGGAGTCCCAGCCCCCGGGAGCCCATCGTCCTGCTGTGCCCTGCTGGGGAGACGCTGGTCAGGAGGGGGTCCTCCCGGGAAGAGCCTCCTCCTGGGAGGACACTGCACGCTCACACACACACACCCATGCGTGCACACACACATGCACACCCCCTCCACACTCACTGCCACACCCATGGCTCACAGGCTCTCTGGACACACCCCCACTGGCACACACTCAAACTAAAACATTTCCACTCGTGTGCATACACTCAAACACTCACATCCTCTCGCACATTTGCACAATCTTAACATCACTCATGTGCACACACACACCTCACTGCACGCTCCTTGCATACACACTCACACTTCACGCCTCACATACTCACATCCAAACCCTGCCATGTGTGCACAACAGTTTCAACATTCAGGTTACTTGTGTGCACACACTCACTCCCATGCACACCTATTCAAATGCACATAAACACACTGGTGTGGGCCCCCAGCAGCAGGGCACTGCCTGAGCTCCCAGCCTCCAGGGAAGGACACGGAGGCTGGACACGGAGCCAGAGCCTGGCTGAACCCCGCCATCCCCCCCAGGGCTGCCCCAGGCCCCGGGGGAAGGCAGGGAGGGAGGATGGTAGTAGTGCCCTCCAGCCACCAGGGGGTGGGCCGTGCACACCCACCAGCATCTCTTTTGGGGCAAGTGGGCCACCCCCGAGGACACGGACCCCGCATCTCTCATTCGTGGTGCTCTCCGCAAAAGTTTTGGACAGGACCCTCCTCTTCCAGGAGGGAGATAGCCTTCTAGGAAGAGCTGTCCACCGGGGGATCCCGATGGGCCATGAGGGGACAGTGCTTGGGATGAAATTATGAAAAACAGCCACTTCCACGGCTGCAGGTGCCTCTGCTAACTCAGGGCGACTCCCCGTTGCTCTCCAGGACAGACAGCTGCCTCCTAGAGGCCCTGGGAGGCCCGGGAGGCCCCGGGAGGCCCCAGGAGGTCCTGTGGCTGCCGATGCTGCGGCCGGTCAGGGGAGGGCTCCGGCGCTGCAGAGAGGCAGCTGGGGAGTCCTCGCCCATGTCTGGCTTTGCTTAGTTCCTCTTTTATGTTTAAGGAAACTGAATATCGGCGGGTGGGGGGGCTCTCTCTGTAATTCCGTGCCCAGATGGACGCCTTTGTCACCCCCGGGACGTGTGGCGCACTTTCCAGCGTCTGCTGCTCTGTGGTCCCGGAGCCCCAAGTGCACAGCCCCTCCACAGAGTCCATGTCCAGCTCCGTCTTTACTCTGCATTTAGCAGCCCATGTGCAAGCTCTGAAGAGAGGGTCCCTAAGCCCTCCCTGCTGGCACCCAGGCCCGGTCAGGGAGACCCAGCCCTGGCACAGAAAGGCCAAGCGCTCTGCCGGACCCCCCAGGCAGGTGCTGAGACTGGGTCAGAAAGGCCGGCCTCCCATGAGCCCCAGGCACCCTCGCTCCTTTCACCCACACATCCACGGGCCCTTCAGCCCCCGATCACCCTCCCCTGGGCCCCCACCTCCAGGTTCTCTACCAAACAGCCATTCCCCCAAGTCACAGGGCCCAGAGGCCTCCCCAGTGGCCAAGAGGTGGCTCAGCAGTCTCCCTCCCCAGCACACGCTCAGAATCTCCACTACCTCCCGCCACCCATCAGAGCACGGGGTCTGCCTGCATGCTAATTCACAACACACATGTTTACATTATCTGCCATTCGTCAGCTGTCGTTTGTCAGCCACCTATCAGCTATCATCTGTCACCTCTCTGTCCGTCTCTGTCTGTCTATAGTCTCTCCATCTGCCGCCTCTCCAGGCCCTCTGGCGGAGCATGCAGGAGCCTCTCCCCTACTAGCTGCATGCGTGGCACCCTGTTTTCTAGCTCCCTGCTTCCCAACCTTTCACCTGCACACACACCCCTGGGAAATCTTGCTAAAATGCAGGCTCTGATTCAGCGGGTCTGGGCCAGGGCCTTGACCGGTTGCATTTTCCAAGAGCCCGGGTGCTGCCAGGCGCTGGTCCAGGGACACCACACCAGAGTCCAGGTCCTCTGGCCTCTCAGCGCCGGCATCCAGCCACCTGCCGCGTCCCTCTCCCCAGCCGGGAACGCCCTTTTCTCTCCCCTCTTCTACTAATAACTAGGTTAACAGAACCATGAGTGGCGCCAGACTGTGCGTGGTGCTACGCAGTGCTGCAAACCGTCCTCTCGACCCCCAGGCGTCAGGGCCAGGGCCAAGAAGGCCCCATCACCAACCTCGGAGGACCTGCGGGGCTTCCCCTAGGAAAGAAGCTCATTTGTGATTATGCCAAAGGCACAAATGAGGAAACACAGACATAGGATGTAGGCTGGCCTGGATGGGCCAAGTTTAAGCGGGGTGGAGCGGGGCTGGCCTCGAACTTGCACCGTCGTCCTCAGATCACGACGAAGTCCTCCCTGGTCTCAAGACCAAGTCAAGGCCTCTTTCCTCCTAAGTCGTCCAGAACCCCGTCGGCCAAACCTCTCCCTCCTCTTTCGAGTTGTGTCTGTGGCGCTGTTGCAGTCTGCACAGGGTTTTGCTTGGTTGTGAGATTGTGTGGGGGCGGGCTGTGACTCCCGGGCCTAGGACACGGTCCGGCTCCTCTCGGGCCAGCCCAGCATCCTGCAGCGCCTGAACTTGTCAGCTGCCCAGCAAATATTTGTCGCGTCGAATGCTCTAAATCTGCTTGTTCCCCTATTTCTGTACTTCCTCTGCTTCTCCTTGGCGCCTTCCTAATTACGCCATTTCTTTCCCTTTTAAATGGCGAGCTTTCATCGTTTGAAACGAGAAGGGGTTTTCCTTTCTTTAAACATTTTTTCCTTAATCCAAAGTAATATAGAGTCGTTTTGGAAAATGACATCAAAAGGAAGCCAAACAGTACCTGGGCTTCTTGGCCCCCTGGGTTTCGGGCCAAGCTCGTGCTTTGTGGCTTTGGGGGGAGGGGCTGCCCTGTGCCTTGTGGGATGTTTAGCAGCATCCCTGGTCTCCGCCCACCAGACACATAAGCACCGCCACCCCCAGAAGCAAAAATAACCTGGCTCTGCACTTTGCCACGTGCCCCTGAGAAGCAAAATCCCCCAACTGGGACTCAGGGCTCTGTGCCCAGAGGAAGCTCCTTTAGCGAGTTGGAATCCTCTCTTTCTGGCTTAGAAAGGGCTTTTCTATACCTTGATCAGAAGAGGCGGGGCCAAGATGCAGCTAGTTTGGGTGACGACGTCAGAGGGCCGGGGTGCCACGCCCACCAGCGAGCTGGAGGCTCCGGGCTGGCCGCGAGGGCCGCAGAGGCCGCGTCTCCTCCAGGGCCTCCTCTTTGGAGCCGCGGCAAAGCCAAAGTGAAGCTTTCCTTCCTCGAGAATATCTTCAGGTCCATTCCCCACGTCTCACAGCAAAGTCAGCACCGTGACGTCATCTTAGTCACTCCTGGGCGAGACGGGGCCGCCTGACATCCGGGAATTTGCCCCAGTCACCGCCAGCGGGTCCAGCCACATGAGGTGCCCTGCGCAGGGCAGGGCTTGGCCCCAGGAGAGTGACTCAAGCCCAGGAGCCGGGGGCCTGGGAGCCCGAGTCCGGCCGCGTGGCCCGTCTCCGGCCGCCTCGCGTTTCGGCATCTGAAGCCGCCTGCAGCGTGACTCAAGCTCTTGCCTTTCCCAAGCCCTGGGAGCGAGAGCCAAGTTCCAGGGCTGGTCCAACGTCTTCCTTCTCTTGCCCTGGGGCCTGCAGCTCTTCCACCCCCTGCCCCCAGTGTCCCAGCCTCCCACTTACCTGACCCCATGGGAAAGAACCCCCTTGCTGGAGGGAGGGGGGATCAGGCCCTGGATGGGTGTGCGGGGGGGCGGAAGTCTGTGAACGCTCCATTGTTAATCGTTTGCACCCCCTCTTGGCCCCCTGTGGACCCCGGGAATCCGTGGGGAGACCACAGCCACAGCGGCCTCTGATGGCACGTCTGCAGGGGGCTCCGCTCGCTGACCGCCCCCCCCATGTGCTGGCCGTGGCCTCCCGCGCCCGCTGACAAGACCTCTGTGGAGGGACGTGGCTTCCGCTCCCTCCATCTGCATCGGGGCCCAGCTGTCCCGAGAGGCGAGAGCTGCAGTGTGGCTCAGCAGGAGCCTTAGAGGACAAGGCCGAGGCCCGTCACACAGGATTCAGGCGCGGTGGGAACCCAGGGGTGGCGGGTGGACACTGGCAGCTGCGGCCCTGCAGTAATGCAGTAGCCGGCGGTTACGTGAGGGTCCAGGCTACCCCAGCTGAAGACACGGGCAGGTGCTGAGCCTCAGGGGCGGCCCACGCACCTCGGCCATTCGTTGAAAATGAATCAAAGCGGGGCCTCCCTGGTGGCGCCGGGGTTAAGTTTCAGCGCTATCAAGCTGTCCGCAGCCACTGCACAAGTTCGATCCCCGGCCAGGGAGATACCCACACAGCGCAGCAGACCTCTCCTGTCTCCTCGCTGCTCCCCTCAGCAGTGGTTTCAGTGGATCCGTCTGTTCTGCTCCCCGCTCTGTCTTTGGTGAGTCCTCTACCCCCCACACCTCTGGGCTGCACCCCAGTTCTTGTATGCATAAATAAATTTTTTAAAATCTTAAAAAAATAAAATTAATCAAAGTGAAATAAGCTACAAGGGCCACATCCTCAGTCGCCGGGGGAGATCGCAGCAGCTACGGCCACGCAGGAGGCCAGAAATCTGGGAGTCATTCAGCCTCTTTCCGCTCCGCATCTGCCCACGAGCGTCACCAACCGCTGTCCTCGGCTCCCACCCGCCCCTGCTTGCTGCCCCTCGCCGGGACCTGATGCTTTCCAGGAGCCTCGGCTGCGGCCCAGACCTCGGCCATCCAAGACAAACACCGATATCTGGCTTTTCCAGGACCTGGACATCACCCCAAAATTTGCATGAGACAGAGCTTGGTATCCAATTGACCCTGGCTTCAGGGGGCATCGACCAGCCTTCATACTATCCTTGTACACAACTGCTCTGCCCCCTTCCCTACAGGGTCCCCCCAACCAGGCGGAAGCCCCGAGTTCCCAGTTGCTGCAGGAGGCCTCCTGGATTCAGATGCTGGGTG